GAGAATCGAGTGGGCAGGCAGATGGATGCCTGGGAGGAAGAAGGTGTAAACCTGGAAACCAGAGTTCTTCGTGATGCGCTCAAGGTCGTGAGCGAGAAGAAGAGAGAGGCGCTGCTGGAGGTTGAAGAGGGCAGAGAGGTTGGGGGCAAGCGAAAGAGAGCGAAGATGAAGCTTCGAGCTGAGTGAATACAGTCAAATAGAACCGCATAGACGATATACCCTTGGGTTTGCATTTAAATACAATAACATGAGAGGCAGTTTGAGACCTTTTCCACGATGGTGTCTCACAGACGCATCTTGGATATATTTAGTCAGCTGTAGATTTGGCGTCATTCGTCCACGGGAACATGGTGTAGGTCTCGTTTGTCGAGTCGAAATTGATTGTGCGAACCTAGGAAGACAGCACGCAATAGCGTCAGTGTGTAAGTTGCATCATGCCTAACCCGCTTCTACTATGAGACGTATAGAATCACGTTTTCCCTTTTCTGCCGGTTCTCGCATTCCCGCGACCAAATTGCAGTTTCAACATACAAAAACACGAGAAAGTCGTTCATGATTGAACTGAGTCATTTCGCAACAAAGAGTCCAGTCCATGCCATGTCAGCCAACCCGTCCTCCAAGTCAGGTTGCTTGTGCGTCTGTGCAAGTTGAAGAAACATCCCAATGCCCAATTAAACAGGCCTTGACTCACTTCCCGTTTCCGAATTCGGCTCTGGGAATGAATTGTAGCAGCTGAAGACGACACGGAGGTGTCGCACGAAGGCTCAGAGACATGGGACGAAGGAATCGGCCCCTCGCCATCTTGATGTCGTCGGCATACCGCAACGAGACATTCGTATGACCGACAGTGCGCCTCGGCTCCCGCTGCTTCGGCTATCCGCAGCGCCGGCATCTCATCGACAAGAACGAGCAGGTCAACCCCGCGAATGGTGCTCTTGAAACATTCAACGCAGTGACCGTCTCGAACTAAAGCGAGACCGGGGGACTCGAGCACGTCACACACCATAGGTCGGCTCGCTTCCTTGTAGTATCCGAAAGCACTCACAAGGCGCTACACATCGGCTCGCTATTAAGCCCCGACCCTCACGCACGATGCTTTGTAGTCGAGGCAAAAAAATAAAAATGAAATGAAATAACACCCCGGTCCAGCAAGCGAACATGCCCACACGGATCCATCGGAGAGCAGAGCAACGCAGAGCAGACCAGAGCCAAAGCTCACAAGGCTGAACAAGGGTGCCCTCCCTTTGAAGTCATTAACCCGGTTATCGCCGTAAAAGCGGGGCGCCACGAGCACCCTTCCATGACATGCTTCTCGAAGGACCACGGTCGCAGGCACCGGCCAGCCGGAAACTTTTCTTGCAGCCCTCCTCTCGGGCCCGAAGGCACAAGATGCCGCTTCGCACCCGCCAGGCACCCCGTGGCCCCGGGTACAGCGGACGAGTTGTCAGCTCCGGGAAATATCTTGCATCGCGGTCATGTGCCCATGTGCCGGGGACTCGAGAAGCACCAGCGGCGGTTTTTTGTCTCCGGTCCACGGCGTCCTGTTCTGCTGCGGAGTGCGGAGGATTCGCCTTCTCGTTGGCGAGGCCATTTCTAGATGCACGCCTCTGTCGACGGCGAGGTCATGTGAAGCCCTTTGTGGCCCATTGTTCCCCCCGTTTCCAGTTTCCCGTTTCCCGTTTCCCGCGGCTACGTACGGAGTACTACGTACAGTGTACACTACAAATGATATCGAGGCCAGCGTGCTTGCCCATGATCTGATCTGTTTCGGCAATCATGGGTCGACCTGCTCTGTCGGCAGGGTGGCTTGACAATGACGGACGGGGGCTTGCTGCGGAAAAAATACATGTCAAATGGCACTCTGCACCGGGACGAATTTGTAAGGCCATCGGCACGGAGTCTGGCAAAAGGCCGACCAGCGAGCCTATTGTGGGCCCCGCTTTTTTGGGCCGCTGACTGAGCAAAGGATTTCTTTGTTTCTTTTTCTCCCCCCCCCCCCCCCCCCCGGAGCTGAGGGCTCGGGGATTAGATTAGATGGCACACGATGAATAAGCCGGGCTTGATGACGCGAAGGGCGGATATCCATCCAATGTTGTGATGGTGGAGGAATGAGGCCGATTTTTGGGAGCGGGCTAGCGAGATGCGTTGGGAAAACAAATTGACGGAAATTTTTTACATCTCATGTGCCCTCTTTTGCACGACTGGGCATAGGTCGTCCCTTGGCCCGGATCAACGCGAGCACGGTTCACATGCTGCCAAAGGCAACGCAAATGCACAGTCTCATCAGGGCAATAGTAGAAGCAAACGGCGACGCATAAACCGCGTTAAGACTATCAATCTCCCCGTGCGGCAAGGGCACGTGTATCCGCGCGCCCAGCGTGTAAAAACGTGTCCCCTCCCCAGGAAGGTATACTAGTCATGCCAACGGTTCCGCATTACGCCGCAGGCACCGTTATGCCAACGGATGACATCTGGACGGGGTGATGATTGCGGACTACGTATTGTACTAGGCGCGGCGGACCTGGACAAGACGGTGAATAGCGGAGGTTTCGCGCTTGGCTTTGGGCTTGGCTTTGCCGGTTCCTACTACTAGTGCTAAAGTAAGTAGTCAATGTCAGAGAGAGATAGAGTACGGAGTAAGCAGAGGGAGCGAGAGCGAGCCATGTGCTGCCTGGATCAGGCGAGTGTGTGGATGCCGCCCTTGACAATCTAGGAATGGCCTTTGAATGGTCGACGTGGAGATTCGCGTCCAGTGCATACTCCGCAGATTGGGTCGCGGGACGTGAGATGGCGGACGAAATGGCTTGCGTAATCAGGAACGACGTCGCGAGATCTGAGGTTGGTGAACGAAATTAGGCAGACAGAGCGTTCAATGTTGTGAGCTGAGAGAGGAATCTGAGACGTCTGGTCCATGTTAATGGTGAAGGGGTGGTCTCGGCTACCAACGCAATGTAACCGGGTGCCTGGCTTGATGTTTGATCTAATTTATTATCGGCGACCTCGTTCAAAAAAAAAAAAAAAAAAACCACACACTGCAATGTCTTTGCTGCAGTTCCCTGATTCGACAGCAATTGGCGCGAATGATTCGCCAATTCTATGTAATGCACCGTCACGATGAATCATGCTCAATCTGACAAGACGCATGGCCCTTCGGACTCGGCGAACATGGTGCCGCCCAACTACTCCGTAAAGCGGCACCCAATCTCTCCAGTCTCTTGTTAGTCACCAGGGTGGGTCCGTGCAAAGCCCAGCTGCCTGGCCGAGGGTGGGGAGTCGACTGGAAGGAGTCATCATCAAGCTCAGCCCTACTGTCGGACCCCTGTCAGGCCGCGCCGCCTGCTTCGTTGTCTGGCCAAGGTCTCGTCGTTGCCAGTGTGGCTTTGTCGCTTTCGGGTCCGTCGCATTGTCCGTCCTCCCCCTCAGCACTGCAGCGCGTTCCTGGCTGCTGCGAATGCGAGGAATGCGGGCATGCGTTCGAGTCGGCTTCCCCAACAAGCAAACTGCAGCGACATGTTGGGCGGCGCGCATTGTTCGAGTGAATTCATTACCCCTTCCGGCACAAGAGGCGCGCAAGATTGCTTCGTATTACATGTATATGTGTACTTAGATGTACGCCCTGGCGACTGTGGCAGCATGACGCCCTTTGCTGGCGTGCTTTGGCGCATGTCTTGTAATGCTAATAAGTCATGGTCGCGCGGAGAATGTGACGGAACCAGAGCGAATTGATGGGAATGGTGTTGCGGACCATGGAGATGAGGGCGACTGGTGCCGTCATGTGTCTCATCACATTGCATGTGCCGGCGGCAGCCACATGAATGACAGTCAATCGCTTGCTGAGAAATACTGGAAATCCGGGCATAGGCGGACATAGTGCTCCTGGGCACGTACCCGGTGATGTCGCTCCCAGGGAGCGCGAGCAAACGCCGTTCGGCCACTGAAAGTGACGTGCTATAGGCTATGTGTCACTAGGTCGTCGAGCATCGAATCTGATTAGGAATACTACTCAACTGCCATGAGCGGCTGTTGGCTGTTGGCTGTTGGCGCCAGGGCCGGAGCAGCGACATCGAGCCTTGCAGGACGCCGTGGCGTGCCGCCTCGAAAGTCTGATGTTCTGCAGTCACAGGCAGTCACAGTCATTGACCGTGGCCAGAACGGTGCTCGAGAAGTCCGGCCGCAAGCCGAAGTACCTCCTCGCGCAGAGGTACTCCCCCCCGTGCGTGCTGTCGCGGCGGAGGGCGTGGTACCGCTTTCGGGCAAGAGACGTCCATCAGCCCGGCTCCAACTTACGGAAGCATGGCGTGTGGTTTGTCAGGCAGCTCGGATTTAGTCAGCGGTTATTGCGGACATCTGGAGTGCCATGCGAATCAAGGGCCCATGGCGTTAGGCTTCTGGCACACATCGGAGGCTCAGAGCCAGAGGAGTCACCACCTCCCGCAGAGGCTCACTAATTGTCGACACGCCTCCCTCGGTGCCCCACCCTGCTTTGCTAATGCCAGCACCACACCCGCAGGACCCGCACCCCTGCACCGGCGTCGCTGTCGTGCTGCTCGGGGCCGCGTGCACAAAGTCCGCTTAGCAGCGTGCGTCGGCGTCGTCGTCGTTCCCAGGCTCGGGGACGCGGATTCTCGACAGGCTCCAGCCCCAAAGTCCGGGCATTGACGAGTATATCACGCCTCGCCCCCCCGTTCCTCGGATTCGAACCTTCTCGGAAACACCAGATCCAATTTCATCACCAAACAATCCGAAACAGCTCTTGCACTTGCAATTCAGACTCTGCAACCCGCCTGCAACCCCATCGCACGCAATACATGCAGCTGGCCGTCACATCATTTGCCCAGTTTCTCTCATCACCATCACCGCCTTGAGTAGCTGCACACGCTTGTTTCGACATCCCTGTCCGCTATCCGCAATCGGGTCTTGACTCACACTCATATATCCACCCGAGGCCAAAAAAAAACAACAAGATCCAAACATAAAGCAACTTGCTTCCCTCCACCAAAATGTCTACCGCAGCAGTGGCTCAGCCTCAACACCCTATTTTCTCAACCTCATCTCACATCCGATCTGCTCCCAAGAAGAACATGTCCATCACGCAGACCTACTACCTGGCCCACAAGGCCCGGGCCAAGCTCTCCCGCGAGGCTGCCCAACCCGACCACGACCTCCGTCTCCTCGTCGGCCACGCCAACCTGCTCGACTCCTTGATGCTCGAGCTCGCCGATGCCGAGCGCGAGCAGGAGCGCTGGTTCAACCAGTCCGTCCGCGGCGCCAGCAACCCCAAGCCCGCCGACCGCCGGGTGCAGTGGGCGGACCGCATTGTCGAGCAGCCCGAGGAGGAGTACGACGACTCTGACTCCTCCGACTCTGACTCCGACTCCGACTTTGACGAGGACGACGTCGAGATGACCAACGCCGTCTCCGCCCGGGTTCCCGTCGCCGCCCAGCGAGCTCAGCTCGTGAACGTAGACGACGAGGAGGAGATGGGCGACGATCTCGAGGAGGACTACGCACAGCTCGAACTCGTCCGGACTCCGTCTCACTCCACCTCACCGCCCGAGCTTGTTGACCACGACTCGGAATCCTCAGACGACGAGTCCATGCCGCCCTCGCCAGCCGACGCCTCGCTGCCCTACAACGAAAAGGAAGCCGCCAAGGAGGAAGGGGAAGAAATCTTCAACGACGAGTACTACACCTCTCAGCAGACGTCAGCGGGTCTGGTAACCGCCATCTCGGTATACTAAGAAGCCCTGATGGCTGCTCGAGCACCAACAACAACACGTCATGATTTCTTCTTTTTACTCTAGCGACTTTTTTTTTATATCAGCGATGGCATAACACCGGCGTTCAATAGACATGATACCACTGGCATTTAATATGGGGTTTTCACAAAAGCATTTCATATACATCATCACATCACCACTCAGGGTACACAGAACTTGGATATTTGGAGGTTTTTTCGGGCATGTAGCTCGCTCCCATAAATTGGTAGAGTGAGCCATACACATACATACATACATAGTACATAGGTCCACAGCCCAAGGGCAATCAAGAAAAAAAATTTCTAAAAACATACACTCCACGCATCTTCTTTGTCAGTGACCTTTTTTGCCTGTGAAATTCTTTGTCACCGTCCAGAGTCCTGACTCTTGTCCAGCGCACCACCAACCACCAAGTGGATGCCGCACCTAAAAAAGCGGGGCGATATCGGTCCCGGCATGAATCATGGCCCGCCCGACCGCCTCTTCAGGCCATTGAGGAAGTAGCACACATGTACGTAAGCAGACGAAGAGGGAGAAGAAAAAAAAAAAGAGTTTGGCGTCAATCAATCCCACCGCCTTTCGGCGCCTCGGACTCCCGCCGACCCGCCACAAAAGCTACGTATGTACCTGGCTCTTGATTCATCAGCTTTTTTCTCCGTTTTGTCTTTTTCCAACCTTGCCAACGTCGGCAGGGGACAGCCGTGGCGCCCAATGGCGTTGCGTGACCAGGCAGGTTCACGTCAGCAAGGTTTTGGCAAGTCTGATCACAAATGGGCGGAGCGGGCATCCCAGCATCAAGGTTCCCTTGAGAATCATGTTTTGTCATCAGCAGGATTTGTTGTTGGCACACCCGAAACCCAAGCCATGGGTCGCCAATGGCGAAATTAAGAATTGCGTGCGTGTACGGAGTGCAGAGGACAGTAGTATGTATGATTGACTGCATGTACATACAATGTCTGTATGTGCGTACTTTTTGCTCCGCACCTTTCAATGTTTCGTTGCCTCAGCAAAAAGCTTGGTCCAGGACCTGCTGGGGTGTCATTTTTTTCACGCCCTTTGCAGAACAGGGTCATTGTCGGGAGTCTCGCCCAGCGCGTCAAGTCACTTGAGCAGCTTGTCCGCGGCCTTCCGGGGGACGCATGGACTGGTATTGGCATTTGAACCGCGGGTGTCAGTTTGAGCCCGCTGTGCCGCTCAACTAGGCGGAACTCTCGGTTGACGGGTGCCGTTGATTGCCCAGTCCTGCGCTGTTTCGCGAGGCTACATGTGACCACTTGGGTGTGTACTCGGACTGCGGCAACCTGGATGGGCTGGTTGGGCGGCACAAAGAAACCCCCTGGTGCCAATGGGCTGAGGGACAGCATGTATGTACGATATGCTTTTCTTAAATTGTTGGATTTGCGGTGGTGGATGATGGTTGGGCGAGTTACGCCGGTCCAATGCATAATTCTTCGCTTCGTTTTTGCTCTTCACTTGATTAGGTTGTCATGCAACGACGACTCCGCTCGCCTGGCATGTAAAAGCATGCGGCGCAACATGTACATACATACATAATGTAGGTTTCATCTGGAGACCCGTGATGAGGTGGTCTTTTGCTCCACTGCGCATTGCATCAATGGGATCGGCGCGATGGGATTCCAGCTCTGATACGTGGCGGGTATCCCCAACGGCAGGTGATTGGAGATTTGCTGGTGCCTTGAAGGGAAAACTCAAAGGTGGTCAGGCAATGCCATTGTTTGAGATGCGTTGCCCCGTAGATGCCTGCTTGGCTGACAGGAGGTTTGCTCTGTCGCCTTGGCTATTCTCTTGGCTATTGTTGGTCGACCGGTGCCTGCAGGGCGTGGTTTGAAACATCAGACATTGTACGGAGTATTGCTTTTCCATGTGACTACTATATAGGTACGTACCTTGGTGGGTAATCATTGATTGTTACTAAACCACCCGGATACCCGTTTGAGCCGTCCATGAGTTCAAGGAAGGGCGGGGAATTAGGTTATAGCTCAACGCCCCTCGAGACTTGACTGTGCGAAAGACAGAGGCTTGTGAGAATCGTCGGCACGCCTCACAAAATGTCCGTGGGAGCTCCGACCTCGTCGGCGGGAAATCCATGGTGTATTTGATGTCACGGGACCATCTGTGGTATCCTCCCTCCCCGCCTGGTGCCGGTCCTGCGTCCGGCCTTGTCCGGGGCTGGGGATCGGAGATCGACGTGTGCCTAGCACCGCCGATTCGCGGGGACAAACCGTGCCTGACTGTATCGTGAGGAGCGATGATCGGGGTGTGAACCGTTGTCGGAGTAGTTTTGCGATCCTGCAAGGGCGCGGTTGATCGATTTGACTGTGGAGGGACCTTTGATGTCTGGGGGACGCTGCACAGCGGAGGCAGTTATCTGATGGCCATGTCTGCTGGTCGTTCTTGCTGCAGTTGCAAGGCAACATTGAATGCCATTGGTTGGTTCCTTCATCACTTGCCTGCCTACCTACTTAAGTAGGTAGGTAGATACTTAGTAGTTTCTAGGCGTGTAGGAATACGACATCTTTTTAAAGGGAGAGTCTTTTGATCAACTTCAACGTACGTATCTACTCAGATGCTGCCTAGTAGTTGCGAGGCAGTGCGCCTGAGTAGACATGACATGGGCGGATTCCTGTGCACTGACGGCCTTGAATTTGCTAGCTGAGGACGTTGATAGATACAGCTAAGCATCACTGCTCCAGTTTCGTCGCCTAGAACTGCTATTGGCTCAAATATGAAAGAATTTGCCAAAGTTGCTGCCGCCTCTACTGTACCTGGTAGATATTAATTCCATCGTCTAGATCCACTATCTTATCAACCAGGCCAAATTGGAAAGACACTTTTATGAATCCCAGTCCCGAACCATGATCAGTATATGTAGTATATATATTTTTTAAAAAACAAATTCTGCCTGTGCAAGCTACTTGAGCCATTTTCGTCTTCTTCTTCAAAATCCCCACGGGCAATCTCATCCCTCCAAGCCGACTTGACGTTATCAATCAACCCCCCAGCTCCGTCCCCACCAAACACGTGCGACATACCCGAGTTTCGATATCCTCAAGCTCCAACGAAAAAAATCCATCAACTACAACAGACAGCTGCCACTGATATACAAACGCAACCAATACACAATGGGCGCGGCACGGCGCGCTCTACCCACGCGCCTCCTCTGCCGAAGCTGCCTCAAACACCAGCAACGCCAATTCGCAAGCTCGGCCGCGCCCCCGAAACCGCCGCCTTCCGGCCTCGCTGCCCTCCCGTCTCGACAGCTCCTCTCTGTATCCGGGCCCGAAGCTACAAAGTTCCTGCAGGGCATCATCACGGCCAACATGACCAACGCCGAGGGCCTGCCGCGCACAGATGCATTCTACTCGGGGTTCCTGAACGCTACGGGCCGCGTGGTCCACGACATCTTCATATACCCCTTCCGGCAGGCCAAGCAAGACGACGGCTACCTGATCGAGGCAGACGCAGGCGAGATGGCCAGGTTCGCCAAACTCATCAAGCGGTACAAGCTACGTGCAAAGGTCACGGTGCGCAACGTCCCGCCGGACGAGGCGTCTGTTTGGCAGGCCTGGGACGACGCCTCGCCGCTGGACATTGCGGCCAGCGAGTCCCGGGTGGTGTTGAAGGACCCCAGGGCTCCTGGGCTGGGACACCGCATCGTCCAACTGAACCACAAGGCGCCCGAGCTCGACGTGGACGCTTCTACGGAGGAGGCGTACACGATCCGGCGCTATCTGCAGGGCGTCGCCGAGGGCCAGGACGAGATTCTCCGCGAGCAGGCGCTGCCGCTGGAGAGCAACATGGAACTGATGAATGGGATAGACTTCCACAAGGGCTGCTACGTCGGGCAGGAGCTCACTATCCGGACGAGGCACCGCGGCGTGGTGCGGAAGCGCATCCTGCCGTGCGCGATTTACAGCGAGGACAAGGCGCCGCCGCAGACGCTCTCGTATGATCCCGAGTGCGCTTCCCCGGAGAGCCTGACGGCGGACATGATCCCCGCCGAGACGAGCATCGGGCGGTTCGGCAAGAAGGGACGCAGCGCGGGCAAGTGGTTGAAGGGCGTGGGCAACATTGGGCTGGGACTGTGTCGGCTCGAGATCATGACGGACGTTGTCCTGCCCGGGGAGCAGGCTGCGGCCACGTATAAGCCGGGAAATGAGTTTGTCCTCGAATGGGGCGACGAGGACAACAAAAGCGACGTCAAGGTGAAGGCGTTTGTGCCGAAGTGGCTGCGCGAGGGATTGAGCGCGCAGCAGGGCTGAGGGAGACGGCATAGAGGGCACGGAATACTTGCATACACATAGATGAATAAATAGAGAGTAAATAACTACACAACTTTCTTTCACTGGAAACACGGGGCTGCTTGGAGTGTTTCAGGATATGCTCGTTGGTCGTATCAAGGCAGCGACCGGCAAAGCAGTCATATAAATAAATAACTGGGATTCAATGTTGGGAAACACAGGCCATGAATACGGAGCTGGTTGCTTAGACGCCAGGCCCGATGTGGTTGCGGCCATTTTGGGTCAACGGTGGGAACTGGGTTCCGCCAGGGGCGCAGAACTGACATGGACAAGCTACGGAGTACTTACCGTCGACAACTGACAAGCGGGCCGATCCCTGGACATGGAAGAAGCCTGCCTCCTTGTTCAGCCCATGCAGCCTTGTCGAGACGAAAAAAGAAGCGACATCAGCGTGAGAGGGAGGCAGGCTATGCAGACGATGACTGCTGAGCTGGCCAAGCAACAAACAAGTCCCCAGTGCCACTGCAGCCTGTCTGCCTCATGCAACCATCAATTGATGGCCGAAGCGCAAGCGACAATTCAAGCAGCCAACACCTGCCTATGAGTGCCGTGATACCAAAGTCGTGAGGCTGGGTCAAGACGGCATTGGCTGAGGTGTGGGAACGTGCAGTGGCCAAGATGAGAGTCACGAGGGGGCCGCAATTTCGCCTGGCGAAGACTTAGCTAAGGGGGGATACAACAACCCCTGCGGTCTGAGCGAATCTGGCAAGATTAGCTTTCTATTCATACCAGAGTCGGGCAAAGGACAAGATTGAACGTCGGTCAGCCCGTTGCATCGACGCGAGGTACGGAACAGTCCGTAGCACCAGACTGCGTATCGATCGGGTCCAACGTCGCGCCGCGCCAGTCTGCCGCCAAACCCTCGCACCAGCTCCGTCCAAAATTAGTGCCACTGCGACTCCAACAGCCTTGGGGTCATTGGCCGTGTTCTGTCTGATGACTGGCTTTTGGCCGATCTGGCTCTGACGGGCTGACACTGAGGCTTGTGGATGTGAGGCTGGGCAAAGGGGAAGGTGAGTGAGCATCTCACCCATCTCACGCTTCTTACCCTCCCTAGCCTCACGTGTGGTCACTGGTATACCGAACTCTTGGCGCGCGGGTACATGTATGACGTTCATCTCATCTCAAGCTCGCGTTCTGGCATTTATTTAACCCCTTCTTGCCGCGGGAGACGGGCCCGGCAAAAGCGCAACAAGAAACATTGAATCGTTCCCATCACTCCTCTGCCAACTTGCGCGGCTAAACCATCTACATCGCCCTACGGTACTCCGTAAATTTGGTCAGTAAAACTCAGGGGGAACAAGACGAGCAACATGACCTCTGAATATGCCACGACAAGGCGCCAGAAGAAGCGCCTCATAGTTTGCTGCGACGGAACCTGGATGAACAGCGACTACGGATTCTCAAAATCGAGCCCCTTTTCTAAAAAGGGAACCCTGCAGGTGCCTTCCAATGTCACTCGTATATCGCGATGTTTCAAGCGCCGCTGCGCAGACGGCACCCTGCAAATTATTTCCTATGAGTCGGGAGTCGGCAGTGGCAGCAATACGCTTGATAGTATCACCGGCGGAGCGTTTGGGACTGGCCTTGCCGAGGTGGGTGGCTTGCTGCGTCTCCCAAGACATGAAAGAAGAGTGCTCGAAACTGACCATTCTCGATAGCGTGTCCGCGAGGTGTACGCGTATTTGTGCGCCAACTACATGGATGGCGATGAGATATTTCTAGTCGGCTTCTCAAGGGGCGCCTTTACTGCGAGATCTGTTTCTGGCATGATTGCAAATTTGGGCCTGTTGACCAGAGAGGGCGTCGAGCACTTCTACCCTATTTTCAAGGACATGCAAAACTGGGAGAACGAGGACTATGTCGACCCCTTTCCCAGTGTGCCGTTCCGAGACAAGCCCAAAGGTGCCCACGCTGACGTCGAGTATCGAGCTCGGCTTGAGAAGACGGGGTACACTCGCGTCTATCAAAAGGACAACAACCTCATCAAAGTCAAGGGCGTGTGTGTTTGGGATACTGTCGGCAGTCTTGGGATCCCCAAGATCCATTGGTTGGAAAAGCTCGGCGTTCGGCCAAACAATGACGAATAAGTCTTCCCTCCCCGCAACTCTCCTGATCTACATGTATATAAAAGCTAACTTTCGGTGAACATATAAGTGGCATGATACGGCTCTATCAGACCGAATCGAACATGCCTTCCAGGCACTGGCACTGGACGAGACTCGTACACCCTTCAGTCCTGCAGTTTGGGAGCGTCCTCGGCGTGAGGGACTACGCACGGTAGACTTGCGGCAGGTGTGGTTTCCTGGGAACCATGGAAACTGCGGTGGCGGATGGGACGACCAGGGCGTCGCTAATGCTACATTAGCCTGTAAGTTTCGGTGCAATTTGAAACCCTACTCGTTGTCTATCGGCGCTGACTTTACTAGGGATGATGGATCAAATGACCAGCATCGGCGTCGAGTTTGACACGCCATCACTAAAACGAGTAGTTGAGCAGACGTTTGATTTCTATGAGTCACCCGAGGCACACAACCAGAAGAAAGACCGGAGCAAGCTCAAGCAATGGGCCATTGATCCCATTTACGACAACAACAAGCCGCTCAGGCCGTGGGCTCTGGGATCGATCCAAAAAGTGGGCGGTGTTTTGTACGCCCTATCCGGAGATACGATTAGAACTCCAGGCATGTACAAGCAGGTTGATCCAAAAACATCGGCATGCCGAGAAAGTTACCTGCAGGACACGAACGAGAAAGTACACAGCTCTGTGCGAGTGCGGCTAGCATGCGAAGGTTTGGGTCTCAACGACGAATCCGTATGGACATGCCAGGCACTTTCGGACTGGAAGCTGAAGCGGGCCATCTTTGAATATGATGAAGAGGTTCATCACTACAAGCCATATGATCGGTACCGCGACCGGCCGTCTCGTGAAGGCTGGATCTGGAAATATGTTGGCAGTGAGAAGAACGCACCAGGCCAAAGAATTATGCCCGAAGAGCCTCTGGGCCCGTATGAGCGATATGTATTGGAATTATCGGGTGGAAGCCCAAATGTGTACGATTATGCCGATAGAAGAGCAAACAGGAGCAAGAGAAGGAGCAGATCTGAGCGATCACGGAAGACGTTAAGGGGGGCGTCGCATACTTACTAAGCATTAGACATAAGGAGGCTATGTACTAGCCGGCAGGAATAATTTTTTAAATACCACCATGAATGCAAGCACTAGTACTCTGTACTTGATGTCAGATGTCGATCAACCGGTCGTCCATGCAAGAAGTCTATTGGGGAGCTTTACCAAGTCGCTAATGAGAGGTCCAGCAGCGTTGGCATACTGACAAAAGTGGGTCACATGGAGCCAACCAGAATTTCTAGAAAATGCTGCCTCGAGGTATAATGTCTTCCTCATCTCAACTCAGGCCTTTCTCATTCGCAGCGGCTTAAAAAAAACTATCTGTTGCGAGGAGTCCAGCCCTCACATATGATCTGTGACAGGGAAATTTTCTACTAAGCGGGACCAAGGACGCCCGTGATACTCGCGCTTGCCCACTGCGCTTTGGCACTCCAAGGTGTCACGGCCAGCACACCACCGGACTCTCCCACGAAAACCAGCCGAATAAATAGGCACCATGAGTGAAGAAAACAGGGATCTCGTACGTCTCGCAGGCGAATATGCCGACAGAGACATCGATCTTTACAATCTCCTCGGTGTCGACGCGCTCACGGCAAAGGAAGACATCCACCGCGCGTGGAGGAAGCGCTCCATCAAGTACCACCCGGACAAGGCCCGCGAAAACTTTGACCCCGAGAAATGGGAGCTCTTCGAGAAGGCGCGAGACATCCTGTCGGACGCGAGCGCGCGCGCCGTGTACGACGGAGCCAGCAAGGCCAAGCTCCTGCGCAAGCAAGAGCGCGAGGCCATGGACAAGGAGCGCAAGAAGTTTGCCGATGATCTCGAGGCGCGAGAAGACGCCGCCAGGAGGGCGAGGGAGGAGAAGCAGCAAAGGGACCGGGAGATGCTGCAGAAGGAGAGGGAGAGACTGGCGGAGCAGCAGCAGTTGCGGGCCGAGGAGACGAGACGGCAGGCCGAGGCCGCGCAGGAGGTGGAGGACCTGGCCGAAGCTAGAAGGCGGCTGAAGGAGAAGAAGGACGAGAAGGCGAGGAAGAAGCAGGCCAAGGAGAGCATGAAGGCAACTCTCGGGTCCGTCGGCAAACCCTCTGGCCCTGCGAATGGGGTCGTCAACGTTCCGGGGGATTATGTTGCGGATCTGGCTCTCAACAAGCAGTACTGGGAGCTGGTCTGCGACAAACTACGCGCTATTCAGGCAGTCAGGAATTTGCAGAAGGAAGACACGCCAGCAGAAATTTTGCAAGAGGCAGAGAGGGTCGTTCAGGAGGTCCGGGGCAAGATTCACGAGGCCGAGGCCAGGTATCAGCGTGAAACGGCAACCACCTAAGGGCATTTTTACGATTACGCTAAAGGAAAAAAAGAAGAATACTGTCACATTGTGCCGCAGTATTTTCTATTTCGTGAGAGCCGGAGCCATCTCAAGCTTTCTCTTCTAGTCTCAGAACACGGATAGCGTTTGACCCCATGATCGCCCTGGCCTCGGCAGATCCTTCACCAACAGCCTCGGCAACAGCTTGTGCATTCAGACTGACGCTCTCCCACTGTCCTTGTTCGTCAGTCGTGATGGGCGGGAAGAACGGATGGTCGGTGCCAAACATGAGTCTGTCGGAACCGCTTGCGTCGATTGCGGCCTTCAACCCGACCTCTGAATATATGACGGCATCCAGATAGACCTGCTCCTTGAGCACATCCCAGACCGTGCGGCGATTTTCCCCAACTTTGCCTTGCCGAACAAGCTGCCCATCGTGGAAGATGCAGCTCTCGATGCGGCCCGCGAGGAACGGCAGGGTGCCGCCACTGTGCGCGAGCACCATCCTCAGGTCGCGGACCTGGTCAAAGACGCCGGCCAAATACATGCGTGCCACGGCAATCGTCGTCTCCATGGGGAAGCCCAAAGCCAGCGGAAGAACATGGCCGTACTCGCCAGCACGGGGGCCCCACACGTCGTTGGGCAGGCCGTAGTGAGGATGAAGGAAAATGGTGAGATTTGCGGCAGCCAGTGCCTCGAAAATAGGAATGAGATGAGGGTCGTCCAGTCCCTTCCCGAGCCCCGAGGTGCCAAGGATGACACCGCGGCAGTATTTCAGGGCCGCGAGGTGGGATATCGATGCCAGAAGAGTTTCGAGCGGTGCGGTCAGAGGCAGCGTGCCGAAGAAGAACAGCCGGCCGTGGTGTTTGCCGCACATGTCTGAGAATTCGTCGTTGACAGACTCGGCGATGTCGCCGGCGTGGGAGGCGTGGACAAAGTCCAGCCACGGGTTAGCTAGAGAAATGACAGATATATCGATGCGATGCGTGTCCATGAAGTGAATCTTTTGGTCGAGCGATGCGAAGTGAGATGTGAGCGGGCGTCCTGGAGGCTTCGCTGAGGGGTCATTGATGGCTTTTTCCAAGTCTCCGAGCTCAGCTTCCAGCAGAATGAGACGCGGCTCGGGGGCTTGAGGAAACTTGCGGACCAAGGGGATTGTCGTCCGAGACTCGAGAATCTTGATATACTGGGGGGGATACATGTGGGTGTGGATGTCCACGACGGTTGGATTGGACGTGGCCATGTTGGGCTGGTCGTCTGAGCGTGGATGGATGAAGCCGAATCTGCTGCAGTGAGATGTAAATCAAAGAGAAGCAAATGTGCAGATGCGTTCAACGTTGACATGGCATGGCGTAGTAGCGGCACCACAATAGTATATGGTGTGGCTGCCCCTCGTCTGTGGTCTTGCAGCGGCACCGAATTGGGACTGTTCAATGTTCAATGTTGGTTTATACTTGCCGCTCCCTCCCCTTTTTTTTCTTAATTTTAATTTTTATTATTTTTGTGTTGTGATCTGGGGATGACGTTGGGCACAACAACATGTCCTCTTGACAGGCAGGATCACTGGCCAAGTCTCCAATTCAACCAGCATTCAGTTATAGCACACGCGACGCATGCATCTGTGCCGTGGCAGGCGAGCCATGATCACGTTGTATGCCCCGCACAGGAATACAACATCACGTCTGCGGGTGTCCCCTTAAGATATAGATATGGCAAGTGGCATTGGAGGGCCAGAAACTTGGCTGAAGCGTCGGCCATGGCCGCTCACGGTCCGAGCAGAGAGCCTTTTCTAGAGTCGACGCGACACGAACAAAAAAAAAAATAGAAAATAAACCGATACATGTTCCCTGCTCTTGGATTGTGGGTGACTGGCATGGGTAATTATCTTGAGAGATATGTTATCTTTGTTCTCAAGTGGTTGCATGTTTTGGTCGATTGGCCAGGCCATTGGGGCATCGATTCTCTCCACCAGGCCCCGCTAGTCAATCATTACTAGTGGTTCATCCACTTAGTGGCTGACGGGTAGTAAATATCGATCAATCGATTGATCCGTCGGCCACTATCAGCCACTGGCTTAGGCGCTGTGGGGAGCTGGCGATCTGCAGGTCTGCGGGGAACCCTGATTAGCGGTTCATCAGCCCATCCATGCAATCTTGACGCCAAACTTCAGAAGCCGTCCGACGATGTTGAGACGACGCGCAGCTGAGCCATCGTAATGGAGGGTATGTCGGAAAATAGGCGAATGGGCTAGGCGCTCTGTCATAGTGCTCCCATTATGCGGCGGTTGCCGAGGGCGTTTTGGTTTAGGACGTTTGATTAGGCGGTAGCGTTGTGGTTGTATCTGTGTTGAATTCTGTAACTAGTACCTACCTGCTTAAGTACCTAGGTACTTAGGTATATGAGGCTTGTTTCGCCCGCATGTGCACCTTCCCATTGAAACTGGAGACTTATCGCCAGATCTCTCGTGCCGGAGCTGTCCCTCGACTTGCCCACACAGTCACTGTGATCCTCAGTTTTTATCGTCTTTTGCCATTCTTCTTTATAAACGAAATGGCGACCGACGCTGCGGTAGCCAAGGAGGGCCTGGTCATTCCTGTAAGTGGCAAGGCGATGCGCTTAGTAGCATCACCACTCCGCCATCTGCTTCGCTCTGCCGCCACTGATGGTTCCTTTTTGCATACTGAACTCTGCTCCAGCTCATAGACTTTTCCAAGTTCCTCACCGGAACCCCTGATGAGCGAAAAACTACTGCCGAGGCTATCCTCCATGGCTTCCAAACCGCAGGCTTCATATACCTCAAGAAGCACCCAATCCCGGTCGATGTCCTCAGTCGGACTTTCGCCCGCTCCGCCGATTTCTTCGCTCTCGACACTGACGCCAAGATGAAGCTGGGCTGGACCACGCCTGAAGCCAACCGCGGCTACTCCTCGCCAGGTCGTGAAAAGGTCACCCAGCTGGAAGACATCGCCGAGGTTGAGAAGGTCCGAAGCGCGGCACCAGATTTGAAGGAGAGTTTGGAAATTGGCCGTGATACCGACCCAAAACATCCTAACCAGTGGCCGGCTGAGGATGGCAAACTGAAGGGCTTCAGGACAGACATGAACGACTTCTTTAGCCAGTGTCAGAAATTACACGTGGAGGTTATGAGGGCCATCGCCTTGGGAATGGACCTACAGCAAGATTTCTTTGATCGGTTTGTGCATGTTGGGGATAATACGCTGCGGCTGTTGCATTATCCCTCTGTAAAGGCAGATGTGTTTAGGGTCAATCCTGGGCAGGTGAGGGCCGGTGAGCACAGTGTAAGGCTCAAGGCCCATCCAACTTTTGTCCTTGCAAATTCACCGTTATTAAATTGTGGAATACCTAATTAGGGGAGAACTTACTGACCAAAATATAGGACTACGGCTCCATCACCCTGCTCTTCCAAGATAGCCGCGGCGGCCTACAGGTCAAAAGCCCAACCGGCTACTTTGTCGACGCCACTCCCATCCCAGGAACCATTGTTGTCAATGCAGGAGATCTACTAGCTCGCTGGAGCAATGACACTATCAAGAGTACTATCCACCGAGTTGTCGAGCCACCCCGGAAGGAAGACAGTTCCTACCCTCCCCGATATAGTATCGCGTACGTATCGATACCTCTTACATAACGTAACGAGGGCCAGTCTCGAAAACTTCAGCACAGAAACTAACTTTGATTCGAAATAGGTACTTTTGCAACCCGAATACGGAAAGCTTTATTCAGACCTTGCCGGGGACGTATGCTACGGAGAAGGATAAGAAATATAAGGGTGTGAATAGTGGCGATTATTTGGTGCAGAGACTGACAGCCACGTACTGATAATATAACTCTGGGTAGTGAGTTTCTGGGAATACACACCACTTTCAAAATTTGCAAAGATGATTTCGCCATGATGCCCAAGGTTTGCTTCGCCTACAGCCGTTACGGCGCAACCAATAGCAGCATAGCCAAGCCACACCTGCAGCCTTCAGCAAGAATACATGAAGAGGGGTGAGCATGTTCCCATGATGACAAAACGAAGACTCATTCTCATCCTTGGTCATTGTCATGAATTTATCCCCTTCATAGTATCGACCGGTGATATCTGGTGGTGTTCATCATGGGCTCATCGCAAGACGCGAACAGCCTGGTAGGTTGCCCTAGCCGACACATTGACGACTTCTTTACCCGAAATGCCTTGCACTACCAAACCCGCAATCAATGTCTACGATTCGCGCAGCTCATATTCCCCGGGGAACTCGTTGGTGAGGCTGACACCCAGGGCGAGTGCTCTTACACTGTGGCCGTCTCGACAACTCACCTACTTCAATTCCGGCCGGGACGATTCAGCCTAGACATGGGAATATACAAAGACGCACGACATATATTCAAACACCTCGTTTCCGAAACGACGTATTTGGGCCCTTTCAGCGGCATCCCAGCACCCAGAAGTCCGCACATCAATCCACCATTGCTGCACGTCTATCTCATGGACAAGGTGCCCGGCGTCACACTCTCCGGGATTCTGCAAATACCCGACAACCCCCACAGGGAGTTCCGCCACAATCTCGTCCGAGACATGGCAGCCATCTTTGCAAAATCATATCACCACCGCGTGCCCTCTCGTCGTCGTCACCCCCTCCCGGCAGGCAAAGGCATCCAGGGACGAATCGGGTCCTCTCTCCGATGGCGGGCAAACCTCCTCACAAATATAGCAGACGCAAAACTATCCCAGGAAGCACAGGCGACGAAATACCACCTCGGTCATATTGAGCGATTACCGTGGTGCTTAACACACGGGGACCTCATACCAAGTAACATCATGGTTGATCCGCAGACGGGCCACATCACTGGTTTACTAGACTGGGCCGAGGGCGAATGGCTGCCGTTGGGCGTAGGCATGTACGCCATAGACGAGTGTTTAGGGCAAGACGACGCAGAGAAGGGGTTTGTGTATTTTGACGATCACGCGGAGCTGAGGGCGTTGTTCTGGAGGACATTCCTGGACCTCTGTGAAG